ATTTGACACACACACAAACAAAGGGGGTATGGTGGGTTTTTTATGTTTTGTACAGATGATTGCATTGAAATGCGCGTTTGCAGTTTTCGCGGTTGTATTGTGCTCTACTGATCGTGTGTCGTGTCAATAGTCGGATTCGAAATGGCGGAGTGCATGGTGTACTACATGATTGTCGTCCCCACGAGGCGTGCATCCGGTCGTCCATGCAATGTCCTTGTATTGTTCATGTTTGTAGTGTTTGTTTCATAATCGTGATGGGAGTGAAGTTCGTCACTTCATTACCCGCCCAAAGCAATGGATGGCCGGGGGTTGGAGGGGGGTCAGGTGGTGGGCCTTGGAGATATTACAAGGGGGAGGGGGGGGGTGTTTTTTGGGTGGGGGGTTGTCGTGCTCGACCGGCACAGCGAGGGTTTGGCGGAGTGGGGTTTTCGTGTCGTTGGGGGAAGGTGTACCCCGATGTCATTTTTTTGTCGTCATCGTTTGTCTTGTCGCCCTATGGTAGTGGGCACGACGTTCGATTGTTGTCCGCCGTGTCCCGACAAAGACACATGCGCAGCGGATTTTCGAACGGCAGCGCGCCATCTCTCGAGAGATCCACACGCGACCACCACTTTGCAATAAGTACCGCGATACTGACCCGCACCGCACTCATCCCAAACCGTGCGTATGATCTTCACGCGGAGTGGTGCTTTCATTGTCGCGGGACTTCTTCTCGCCATCCGACCCCCTCCACCCCATCCATCGTCTTGTTTTCGCGAGCGCCGCAATGCAATCTTCTCCCCAATGCCAGATCACCCGCCATCAACCGTCTTCCATTCGCGGCGCCATGTAATCTTCTCGCTGCCTGACATCTACGCAAACACAACCGCCGACAACCTTCTTTATTGCGCACCGCGAACACATCTTCTCGCCGCCTTTAGCTTTCGGCGCCATCTAGCAACAGTGCCCGCGTCGTCCGTCGTGCCGCGTTAAGATCTGCTGGCCGCCATCTCATCCGACTGCGGAAGCACGTTGTTCTCACTCGGCTTCCATTCCGTCGTCGACACAGGATATGGTATGTTTTCTCGCAGCGTTGCACGTGGGAGAGCTGCTGGCAAACAAGTGGCGCGAGCCGAACTCGCACCGAAGAAAGGTCGCCACGATCCCTTGAAGAGACGAAGGACCGTCCAAGGTGGGAAGGCCGCACTCCGGCGAGAGGTGGAGTCCGCTTGGGTGGATGCAGAGGAGACACAGGTGGAGGACGATGACTTCGAAGAAGAAGGGGAGCAGATTCTCGAGAGAAGAGTGAAGCAGAGGATGACGGGCGCTGCGCGGATGGAAGCGGGGGGGGGGGTCGCCGCGGAGGCGGGGCATGATCAGCAGCGGACGCCGTCGATTGGGCGGACCGAACAGCCTGTTGGCGTCGCAAGCAGTTCGCAGGCCGTCATCGACTCGTCGACTAAACGTTCCCCCGCGCCGCAGGCGCGCGGGGAGGCAACTAAGGTTGCGTTGTCCATGGCGGAAGCTATGAAGGCGGGCGATGGCGGGACAGTAGGCGAAGACGACGAAGCGCTAGTGAACAGGCTTCGCGGGCAACGTGCCGAAGCGAAAGCGATGGAGGTGGCCGCGAGGCTCTGGACGGACGACATTCGGTTCTGGAATCAAACGTGGGGACACGAGATCATCCAGATCATACACGAAGCCCTTGTGTACCTCGTTGACGTGGCGACGGGAGTGCAGCCATCGCCGATCCGAAGGAGCATCAACCTCCTCCATAGTTCTATCCCTGTGAAGAAGATCGAAGACGGGTCGGAGTTGACGGCGGCGAAGGAAAGGGCGCTGAAGGTGGAGACCATTGCGAAGAGAGCGATCCAAGGCTGGATTTTCAAGTCCGAAAGCAGCGACAAGGGGTATCATTTGGTGTACCAATACGCCTCGAGCCACGCGGCGACTAACATCGCCAGAGCGATGTGCGCAGCGGAGGACTGGCGCTCGTTAGTGAGCTCGATGGTGTTTCGAACGACGCTGGAGCTGGGTATGAAGCTCCTTTTGTGGTTCGTCGGTGCGAAGGTGGAGGACAGGCACCAGGACGACGAGTGTGAGGCGTACCAGGAAGCCATCGCCCAACGTCTAGTGCGTGACTTCAGCAACGTGGTGGAGGCTGCACAGGCGATGGACTCGGGGCGTGTCTCTCACAAGCGCCTCAAGTCCCTGGCGGAGGCGATGAGATATCTTCTCGCGGCGGCGGCGTGGATTATGAGGATGGCTGGGGACGACGCGAGATCGCACTTCGACGCCTGGGTTTTCGTGCAGCTAACGGCGAAGACCACCCTTCTTGCTTCCATGGATCGCCATTTCGACTCCCGTCGTCATGTCTTGCTGGCAGCAACTGTCATGACCGAGAAACTCGGAAGACCGCCTCCGACCTTCGCTCCCCCCCCGTTGTACATCCCCGACTGGGCGTCGAAGTGCGGCATCACGTTCAATCACGATGCAACGTTGTCCTCCCCGATGGAAGCGACGGAGACGGATTGGATCGCCACAGGCCCCATGAGGGGGAAGAGTCAGACGACGACGATGTTCATGGCGCTGAGGGTGGGTGACAATGGGAGTCCAAGTCGATGGACTGCCGGCGAGGGTGGGTGATAGTGGGGGTCGACGATGATGACGGCGGGGAGGGTGTGTAGATGACAGGGGGAGTGTGTTTCGCTTTCCGCCGCTTGTATCTATGCTTTGGTGGGTGTACGCGCACGTGCTTTGCGATGTTCGGTGTTTACTTATAAACTTGTGCTTGTTAGTGCGTGTTTTCGCTTTTTGTTATCGTGACAAACGGTGGTTACAATGTTCTCGATTTTAAGGCCGTGTTATGTTAGTTTGAAATCTTCCTACACAGCCCCGTTTCTCCGCGTCGTGTACCTTCGTTCCTTGTGGTTGTTGGGAGAAGCGGAGGCTGCAGTTGTATTATGTGCTTCATTTCAACACCCTGTGAAGTCGTGTACCGATTCTCAACGGAAAGGAAACAATGTTGTTGTATCTCACAAGACAATGGATTTGTGTGTTGTGTAGGCGATGGGACAGGCGTCTTTGTTCTGGGGATGTGTTCTGGTGACCGGGATGTGTTGTTTTCATTGGAGAAGATATACGTAATGTCCATGAACCGATCTGATCGTTGCTGATGGTGAGACCTACATACACACACACACACACACACACACACACACACACACACACACACACACACACACACACACACACACACACACACACATGCAAACACGACAGAGAAACTTTTCTGCACTTCGTGAACGAAAATACATAGCCAAGATCACGACTGCACACCAAAACCATTGAACGAAAGAAGATCATTAAAAAGAAGGCGAAGCCTTCGAAGGTTGACAATCACAACAGTTGCAAAGAAAAGAAGATCGTGGCTCGCTGGTCGCCCATGCACCCCCCACTAAACCCTCCCCCCCCCCGTAACCCTAAACTGGCGAACCCACGACCTCCCGGCATGAAACCTACTACCCGTCGGTGCTTCAACACCACTTTCCGTAAAACCATCATCGACTTCCGTGCGCCGATGATCACCACGCTAAAGAAAGACACTGACGTGGACGAATTTTTGCGCAACCACCTTGTGCCGCTAAAACAACAGCGGTCCATAAAGGACGGCAGTGTGGAAAATTGCGACAAAAACGACCGCGATGATCAACCACCCATGACCTCACTGCAACACGCTAACAACAAGACGACAAGCTGGCGGATGCGTGCGCAGGACACCCCCATGCTTGGAAAGCACATTGTGCTTGTCGACGACGAAACAATCTTCCGGACGGCAGCAATCTGGGACGGCGTCATAACAGATTCCTCTCAGCACCTCCACATGGTACGGGAGGGCGTACCTCCCTACCGTTCCTAGACCATAATGGCTACGGTGCCTCCCCGGTTCAGGCTGCTCCCATGTCTCGCCGCATCAAGACCCTCTACGGCTCGCCACTCCCACAACCACCCGTCGTCACTGAGCACCTATCCTCTCCGCCAACGCATCCCTCAGAATGAGGGCGTCCCCGCTCGATGACTCCTTGCAAACAGGAAGCAGCGGCGCATGCATACCAAGATCCACCCTGCGTCGGACGCCGTCCGGACCGACCTCCCACAATAGATTGTCGTCGAAGGGAATGCCAGCGTCAATCAGTATGTTGTGGAGGACGCAGACAGCGATGAACTGTTGCGGCAACGTGTCCATGTTGCACTTGTGCGTGCGGAGGAACAACCTCCACATGCCCTTCAATCTTCCAAACGCCCTTTCAACCGCCCACCTCGTCTGTCGAACCGTGCCTCCGCGGGGTGCTGTGCGAGACCTCCATAAGGGACGACAATCCATTCCGACTGGGGATAGCCATTGTCGCCGAGCAAGTATCCATTCGTTCGGACGCCGAATGGCAGCATGACATGCGGCCCAGTGAAAAGTTCTCCACGCTCCGCGTGATCCCACAAACTGGACAGATGCAACATCCTCATGTCATGCACGCTGCCAGGGTAACCCACCAAGACGTCCAGTACACGCAAATTCGAGTCCACGACAACTTGCGCCTGCACAGAGAATCGCCGCTTCCGATCACAATAGTCCTCCCCGTTCGCGTTGGCGGGTTTGTCCTCGTAGATGTGGGTGCAGTCGATGCACCCGTGGCAATTTGGAAATCCCTTGTCTGCGAAGGCGCGCAACACGACGGCCTTCTGCAAGCCAGTGGGCCACGAAATCTTGTCCGGGTACGCTACAAGCAAGGCGGCGGTAACGTCTTGAACCGTCGTGATGCCAGAAGCCCTCCCTATGCCGAAGCTGCACGTTCCGTTGTCGTACGTCTCACCCGATGCCCACCTATAGAGAGTGTACGCCACGATGTGGTCAGGCTGCAACGGCTCCCTGTAAAACGTCACACGCCGTTGCAGGTATGGAGAAAGCGTCTCCGCGATTTCGCGGAAGACACGTGGCGACATTCGGATTGTCTCTGAAGCAATCGTCGGTGGCGTCGTCGGTTTGTCGCAGGTCCTCCCACGTGCCTCCCGTCCGCCGCTTCATCCACCAACGTGGACTCGCCCTCGGAAATGCGTCGCTCCCCAACGCGTAGCACACCTGGAGGACGGCGTCCGAGACTGCAGCCAAGTCCAAGCCTTCACCGCTGATCCGCAGTGCCCTCATCTTTCGTCGCACACCAGCAGCAACTTTCATCTTGCTCGCGGTTCTCTCCACAAGACAGCGGTAGAGTACGACATTCACGGCCGCAGCAATGGCTGTCCTCTCACCTTTCGTCAACACACCACCCCGGACACCGCCGTCAATAACCATCCCCGACGCCTCTTCCATCGACGACACTGCCACCGACGGCAACCGCCACGACTCCACACATGGAGCCACGTGCAACGACGATATCCCGCCTCCGTCACGAAACGTGGCCGCCAACACTTCTCACGGCGACAAGCTACGGCGATGGCGACCTTGCACGCCGACAACGTATGGTCGTCAACCAGAAGGCGTGAGCACACTGGAAAGCCCTGACCTGCGTTCGAACTGACGTCTCTAA